ATGTCTCTGGGCTTGGGCTCCAGAGCAGTTCCCAAGGACAGGCAGACCTTCCTGGGAATTTGTGGCAGCCTCAGGCACCCTGCATCATGTCCCAGTTCAGATGGCAGACTATTTTCTACACATTTCCTTTCCTTCTGGCCCTATGGCCACTGCCTCAATTTCAAATATCTCTACTTTTTTGCTCCCTCCTTCGTGGATTTGTATCAGCTTTTTTCCTTTAAAATAGTCCTCACTTTTTTTTTGTTTTAAAAAAATTTTTTTTTTCAGCCCTTAATTTTAAATTCTCCCAAATCTGATATTTCCATTTCCCTCATTCTTTGCACATTATCTTGGATGCAGTGTCAAACCTTTAGCCCTAAGGATTATGACTCACAACAAAAACTGAAAAGTAAAATGGTAATAATTAATAGAGCAAGCAAGCAAGGTCACAGGAGAGCCCTGTGCTATATAAACAGGTGTGTCTTCCCTGTTCCGGGATTTCAGGTCACCTGTAGGTTTCTGTCCCTAGCCTGAGAGTGTCCCGTTGAGCCTTTTCACATTACCTCTGTTTCTGAAGGCTCCTGGAGGGCGGAAGCTGGGGCTGACTTACATCAAAGATAAGCTCCCAAAGAAGGGCCACCAGTTTTATAAACATGACTTCAAGCACATTCTGGGAATTAGAGGGCTCCCACATGTAGTGCCAGAGCCCGGCACTAAGGGGCAGCATGGACCAAAGGAAACATTTAGCTCTGCCAAGGTCATGCAGAAAGTGGAAACTACTTTGCTTTTAAATCCCAAAAGCACAGATGTAGAAGCCAAATTTTCATCTCTTGAATCAAATTACAGCATTACGATTTTCAATATCTTTTAAAATTAAGAGTTTTACCTGCCAATTGAATTCTCCAAGTGAATTTTCTTGTAGTTGAATATGATTTAAATTTAATACTGCTGAGACACACATACTCTGTAAGATGCAACAGTTTTAGTGCGTCTATAACTTTGGCAACTTAAATTGATAACGTTTAATTCCAAATTCTAACTCTTCATGTTCGTTGAAATGACTGTTGTCTGTATGTGTCTCTCTCCTTCTCCCTTTGGTGAAGCAAGTTTTTTATGTGGAATAAAGGCAATCAAATAATTATTTAGACAGTTAAACTAGATAAGGCTCAGCTCTTGGGAGCTCTTACAGTCTTACGGTTTCTCTGATTATTTGTTTCTTAATCCCGCCATCAGCCAGGATTTCTGAGCGTTTCTGTATGCCTGATCCTCTGCCAAGTGCTGTGGATTGCAAAATGAACCAGATATCAACCCTGACATCAGAGAACTCATTCAAAGTTTGGAGAGTGGAGCGTGTATGGCATGCACAAAAAGGGGATTATAGACAAACAGATGCAGTGGGGGTGCTGTGGATTGAATGTCCCCCCAAATTCATTGAAACTTAAAGAGTATCCCCTACAGTTCCAGATATTAGAAAATTGGTCCCCAATGTGACAGTGTTAAGAGACTGGGAAATCCTACTATGGTAATTGGAAGGCGGGGCCTTGGAGAGGTGATTAAGTTGATGTTTTAATGGTGGTGGTGGGAGTGGTTCTGAGGGTTATAAAAGGAGATCGCGTGAGAGTCTCTCCCTCTGCTCTGACATTTCTGCCATGTGAGATCCCTGGGTCACTGTTGCCATGACCAAAGACTTCACCAGATGTGTTCTCTGGACTTTGGACTTCCCAGCCTCTGAAAGTGTAAGTAATAAATTTTATTTTCTTTACAAATTACCCAGGTCCGGGTATTTTGTTATAAGCAACAGAAACGGACTTATACAAGGGGATAAGAAAAGACAGAGGTGGGCGCCTATCAGAGTCGGGGGAGGAGGAGGGGTAATTGAGAAGAGTGCAGGAAAACTTAGAAGAGGAGATGATATTTGAACTGAATCTTCAAGGAGTAGACGGATCTAACATTCCAGGCAGCAGGCCCAGAACGTGCAAAGACATGGAAGAATGAGAGAGCTCAACAGTTAGGTCAGTCTGCAGGCAGAGTCAGACCTTTGAATGCCCAGGAGTGTGGGTATCGATTTGTGTTTTAGATCAACTACTCTGACAACAGAATGGGGGTCGGATTGGAAGGGAACAGATAGAAAGTAGACAGCAGTGAGGAAGCTGCTCCAGTAATTATCAGACCAAAAATTATCAAGTTCTGAAGGTGGTGAAGAATGGAGAAAAGTGGATGAGTTCAATTGGTTTTTTTAAATGGTGGCAGAAGCTGGGGTGACCAGTGGAACTGGATGACTGAGATGGTCAATACAGGAGGAGGAGTAGGTTTGGGTGAGAAGAGGGGATGAGTTTTGCTTTGGTCCTAAATGAATTTGAAAAGCTGTGGACACTCAAGTAAGAATGGGGTCCAGCAGACAGTTGGATAATGTTTCTGGAGCTTGGTGGAGGGATCTGGGCCAAAAAAAAATACAATTTGGGGAGTTGAAATTATAGGAGTAGCTGAGACCACTGGGGCAACAACATTTAAGAGTTGGAGAGTGTAAATGCATTAAAAAATGAGGAGGCAACCCAGAAAAATGTGTTCACTAAGCCCTAGGAGTGTTCTTGGATAGAAAAACTCAACATAAAGCCCTCAGTGTTCCCTGCATTCTGTGTGTTTAATAGAATCCCAATAAAGATAGCAATAGACTTTGCTCCAAGAACAGGTCTGTCTTGTTTACATAGTGCCTGGCATTGTTGTGAGGTTGTCACCCAGGAAAGGAATCAAACACTTAATTAAGAATTTTAACAGAGTCTTTATTAGCTGGCCGGCAACTGCCTCCCCTAGGTATTTTGGAAGAACAGCAGCAAGCCTTAGTCTGGTGGAGTTTATAAAGGCAAAGACCACATCCCGTTGGCACACAGGTTTGTCCAGGTGCACAAAGCAAGCTAGGTAGCTAGGTTACAGAAACCAGAAGTGAGCTGTTAAAGCAATCAAGCATACAAATATTCATTGTGTATCAATGGAATACTACTCAGCTGTAAAAACGAATGAAATACTGCCATTTGCAACAACATGGATGGACCTTGAGAGAATTATATTAAGTGAAACAAGTCAGGCACAGAAAGAGAAATACCACATGTTCTCACTTATTGGTGGGAGCTAAAAATAAATAAATAAATTCACACACACACACACACACAAAACAAACAAACAAACAAACAAAACGGGGGGTGGGGGAGAAGACATAACAACTACAGTTCCTTGAAGTTGATACGACAAGCAAACAGAAAGGACATTGTTGGGTGGGAGGCAGGAGAGGGAGGAGGGAGGGAGGTTTTGGTAATGGGCCACAATAATCAACCACATTGTATATCGACAAAATAAAATTAAAAAATAAAAAATAAAACAAATTTTCATTGTGTATGGCTCTTGTTCCTATGTAATGGTTCACTGTGTATGTTCCTGTTTCCATGCAATGGTTTTTGTTTCTATGAGAAGGTCAACAGTTTCTCATGCAGAGGGGGGTAGTCTGAAAATGTGGGCCTACCTAAGAAGATGGCATTGGTATTGCTCAGGGTCCTCTGTTACCGCATAACATAAGAACCTAATAAATATTCTTGACTATATGTAGGTACATTATCCTGGTGGAATAATATGCAACTTTTAATGAAGAATAGGTTAGATATATACACACTGCTACAGAAATATATTCTAAGATATATTAAGTGAAAAAAACAAAATGCACACATGTTGATGCTGTCTAGGTATATGTATATTTAAGGAGGTACATGTAATATTATATATGATATAAATTATAGAACTATATTTTTTTCTGTAAGAATACTAATGGCTGACACATACATAGCACTTCCTGTATTCCAAGCACATAATTTAACTCATTTAATCCTTTCTGTTGAGTAGGTACTACAGTTATCTCCATTTATATCGATGGGAAACTGAGGCACAGAGCAGTAAGCAACTAGCCCAGGATCACACAACTTCTGTAGTTGGTGGCAGAGGTGAAAGTTAAAGCCATGCTCTTAAGCACTGTGACACTGCCTCTCATACAGGAATATGTTAACCCAGGGGCACGAGGGTGGGGAATGGTGGAAAGAGAATTTTACTTTCATTCCATAGTCTTGAGCATTCAAAATATCATTACTATTTTACTATGTGCATTATTACTTTAATAATTAAAAATTTAAAAATAGTTTTGAGAATTGGGTGTTAGGTATACAGTGAGGGCATCCCTGGGGACCTCACTGGGAGGTTTCAGTGGAGCACCCCGGCAGTAAGATGGGGGGGATGGGCTGGTTGAGGTTATGTCCAGATGGCTTATTAAAAGGAAATAAATAGAAGATACCTGCTTGGTTTCCATATAATTAAATTTCAGTCCCAAGAGAAAGACAGCATTTAAAAGCACAGTGGCCCGTTTTTGGCTCAGGTTTGTCCAGGGACTTTTTCTTTATTAAGTTTCTCTTGGCTTGGAAATCCCTGGTTGTGGATTCCTGCATACACAGCTGCTCTTTTTCAATTTTTTTGACTAGATAATATACTTTTATAATTGAAAAAGTTAAAATCGGTTAAAAAAGTGTAAATTGAGGAGTCTTACTCCCAACCTCTCTGTTCTACTCTCTTTGCCCCTTACCCTTTCTAGCCACCAATTTATTACTTTCTTATGTATCCTTTCAGTGACGCTTAGACAAATGCAAGCATACACACACACACACCTTATTTTTATTTTTTTACACAGCTGGGATCACTGCTTTGTACCTTTCTAAATCAGCACATACAGAGCTTCCTCATTCTTCTCTGTACCGCTGTACAACTGTCCACTAGGTTAGTTTAACTAAATGGCTTTGAGATTATTTCCTTGACCTTGCTACTGGCTTTGCTAAGGAGTCCCCAGGTTTGAGCCAATGTTTCTTTGCTTCTCTATTTTTAGAGTGCTTCCCAGTCATCAACTTCCTAGCAACTAACTGCATTTCTATCCCTATCCTGAGTGAGAGCTGAAGACTTCCTACTTCCTTCTCATCTAGGCCACACAATGGCCTCCAGTCTTCCTCCGTGGCCCTTGGGGCAGCAGCTCACACCTGTTCATTCTGGTGATTAAAACCAGACGCAGAGGCACCTCTGTTTGAATCTTGTCACTGGTAATTTTCATCTTCTTGGAAACAGGTGTGCTGGGGTGGAACCACAGGTACAAACTCTTATAGTTTAATTGTAAATACCCGTTGACAGAGCTGTGCCTTGGCTGAACAGGTTTGAAATTAGGTATTTTCTTCCTCTTTTTATTTATTTTTTTAATTCTCTCTTTTAATATGGCTTTGTGCTTGTTGTCTGGCTGCTAATTTATGATCATGCTGAAACTGCTACATCTTTGAGGGGCAGGGATTAGGGAGGAGAAGATACTCATCTGCAAAGCTCTCCTGTGCAGCTAGGATCTCTCTCTTTAAGGGGAAGATTATCAGAGCTTAGTGACCATCACTTGTGTAGTGGGATGGCTCGGGGGATGGTAATATTCTCTTTAAATGAAAGTGTTGCTGTTTTCCCATCTGCTCACATGGAACAAGTGTCTTCTCCCTGGTTTGGTGGCCTGCTCCTGGAGTGCTCAGTTCTGCTGCCAACATGCCCACCCAGCTGGAGATGGCCATGGACACCATGATTAGAATCTTCCACCGCTATTCTTGCAAGGAAGGGGACAGATTCAAGCTCAACAAGGGGGAACTGAAAATGCTCCTGCAGCGCGAGCTCACAGAGTTCCTCTCGGTGAGTCACAGTTTTTCTGCCACATTCATTCGAGGATGGGTGAGGTGCGGCTTCAGGGACAGCCTTTATATACATATTCTGCTATGATTCTGTTACAAACACAGTATAATTTGTATTGCGATTCAACTATGGGGGAAGCAAACACTAGAGACCTTTGTTTTTTGTGTACATAGGCATGCACCCTTTTCCAGAGTTCCTGGGGTTAGGGTTTCCAAGAGTCAAAAATTATATTTGAGGCTTTCATCAATCGTTCAACACTCTGGTGCACCAATTAAAGATATAGCTAGTTATACCAGGAGTTAAGAGTTACAGCAAGTTATAGTTAGTCAGACCTGAATCTCTGTCCAGCTGTCTATAAATTAATATTATGTATTGGGCCAGAAATAAAGCCTGAAGTACTTTATGCTATGATGACAAATGTTCTAGTGAATGGTAAATGCTTACATTTGTCAGCCAAGCACAGGCTAATTGGGATTTGTGGAAAGGATGTGTTAGGCTAGCGACCAGTGGGGTAGCAGGCAAATTCACATCTCAAAATAGCCCGGAGTTTGAGAAATCCATACGTCAAGCCTCACACTGGGGTGTTTGGGGCCTCGTCTGAGGAAACACTTTACTCTGAGGTTTATGGAGTTGCCTTGAACTGATTTTAACACAATGTACTACCCTTGAGTGATGTTATTCTTTCCAAACCCTGTATTAAGAGTACAGTGACTATATTTATGACACTCTTTTCTCCCCACCCTCTACAGGAAAAGCTTAAAGTAAAAAATTTCTTAACATGATAATTCTTCACAAGATCTTTTTAGTGATTTTAGGAGTCCCCAGGAAACTTTTTTTTTTTTTCCCTCTCCAGTTCAGTTTGGCTACTGTGTTGTAGCACATTTATAATAAAAAGCTCAGTAGGTCAAATTTGCCACATTGATTTATTCTAATGAAATTTATAATTGTTTTGATTTTGATCAATTAAATTTGTTTCCAGCCATTTAATGGTTGGCAGCTAATGAGAAGGCAATGCGGAATTCCTGGAGGAAATGAACTGCTTTGGGAAACGTTTCTCATCAACCACTAGTCATGGGATCTCCTCGAGGGGGTCCTTGCTTTACTTTTCACCCATAAAATGCAGTCCCCCTTGTGAAATCTACCCTTTATTGGATGATTCTTTTTTGTGTGTATCAGGCATTGTGCTAGACAGGACTGCCAGATGAAATATTCTATGTTCCATGCCATACTGGGGACATACTTACACTAAAAAATTATTCGTTTATCTCCAATTCAAATTTAACTGGGTGTCCTGTGTTTTTATTCGCTAAATCTAGGAACCCTGGTGCTAAGCACTTTCAAAAGTATATTAAAGTATCCCCCAAGTCCAAAATGTATGCTGTGGGTAGATAGAACTCTCCCCATTTTATAAATAAGGGAATTCAAAAATGTTAAGTGATTTGCTCAAAGTCCCCTTGTTAGTAAATGGTAGAGCCACTCACTATCCCCTCTTGGCTTTCAAGCCTCCCTCTTTCTGTGTCACCAACTGCCTCTCTGTTCCAGCCTGAGACCTGTGATGTCCTGGAAATGCATTTTCAGCATCTGATCAGCTGCTCTTCTTAGTGTTTAGGTCTGAGCCAGCGTTACATGGACCTGGGGCAGAGGGCTAGACTCATTTAGAAGTTGTTCCTGGCTCAAACCTATCTGCAAATAGGCTCTTGGAAATTGTCTTTAGATGCTAAAAATGGATATTAAAACTTTAAATAAAAAGAAAATGTGATTTCAATTGTTAGCATGAACCTCAAAGCCTGGAAGTGAGAAATGTTCTTTTCCCTTTTAGTGCCAAAAGGATCCTCAGTTGGTTGATAAGATAATGCAGGACCTGGACGCCAATAAGGACAACGAAGTGGATTTTAATGAATTCGTGGTCATGGTGGCAGCTCTGACAGTTGCTTGTAATGATTACTTTGTAGAACAATTAAAGACGAAAGGAAAATAAAGATAAGTAGCAAGCTAACCTAAAGGCAGAAATATATCCAAAGTTACTTACCATTCATCTACACCCTTCAGATCTATAGACACAGTCATGTCATTTAAAGATATAATATACCTATAATTACTTGCTGGTATTATTTAATGATGCATTCGTTAGTATATTAACTTTACATAAATATTCCACATATTTTATGCCCCACTTGAAATTTGCCTATATTATTAAAGATGTCATGCATTTTTTTTTTGTCTGTCAAAAATAGAACACCACACAAATTTAGCTACTTTCAAATGAGACTAGAACTTTGTGAATTTCTAGGATAGGTACTCTCATCCTTCAACTGTGTTTTGAACTTCTTACGCTATTAAAGGAATGAACAATTTCCCCATACTCTTGGAAGAAGCCATGAGGGTCTGCAAACACAAAGATTGATAAATAGAGAAAGGGCTGGCTTTTTCAGTGAGTTAGGTCAGGGCGTGAGTAGTTCAAGCCAACAGAGCTGAAGCCAGCAGCTCTTGGGGGTTGGTCTTTAAATGCCCTCCCTTGCCCCTTGTGTTGGATAATCCTGAAGCAAGTGCTTTACACCATTTGCCAGCGCTTCTCCTCAGGACTAAGCTTCAGTAGGCTCTGGGGAGGCTGCATTCTGTCCTCCTCTCCCTACACCACTCCAAGCCTGGTTTCCCACACCTCTCAAATAAACAGCTTGCATGCAAATCCTTGTCTCAAGTTTGCTTCTGGGGGAACTCAAACTCAGACAGATCTTTTGGAGAATTTTAAGAAAGGGAGTGGTAAGATTAAATTTACTCTGTTAAATGATTACCCTAGCTGCTATGTAAGAAAACAAACAAAAAACCAAAAAACTATAGAGAAGGCAATGGTGGAGGATGCTGTGGGCTGGGTAAGAGACGAGGGTGCCTCAGGCTTAGGGTTCAGCAGTGGAGATGAAGAGAAGCAGTTGAGTTTAAGTGTTTTGAAGGTGGAACCGATAGGACTTGCTGATGGATTCATAGTGAAGTGTGAGGGAAAGAGAGCAGTCCAGGATGGTAGAGCAGCCACTGCTATTTGCCTACCTGATATCTCTTCTACTGTTCTTCTGTGCATCACAACTGATTTGTGCAGGGTAGCAATGTGCCCAGCTAACAAGCTATATTTCTCAGCCTCTCTTACAGCTGGTGGGGCTTGTAACACAGTTCTGGAAAATGAGAGATAAGCTGAAGTGTACTAGGAATTTCTGGGAATGTTTTGCTATTTCCATATGCGTTCTATGCCTTTCACCTTGTTAATTCCTTTCTTTTATTCCCATTGGAATGTGTGTGTAGAGCTGGAGGTGAGTCTTCCATCTTGCAACCATGAGGACAGTGGAGAAAAGAGTCTGGGACATTGTTGTCACTGAGCAGCCACCGCACAGCCTTGGTTTCCTGCCTCTGGTCCTCTCATTATGTGGGGGGGAAAATGACAGCTATTAGGTTGGATTCTGTTATGTGCAGCCAAACACAATCTCTGATGTTTAGATTTTTGGCCAATCAAAACTACGCATTTTATTAAGGACTGAGGGAGGAACAGCATCAGTGTGAGGGTATTGGGGGAAATCAGTAGCTCTGTTTGAGATGGCTATTGGCATCCAGTGGAAATGTCAAAAGGGAAGTTGGGTATGTGATTTAGTCTAGAGCTCAGGGTAAAGGGGGGACTGGAGATACAGAGCTGGGAGTTATTAGTATCTGTATGGTCTTAAGCCGCAGGACTGGAGATCACTTAGGAAGATAACATAGAGAAGAAGGTCTAACAGTTCACTACCAGGAAAAGGAGGAGCCGGCAAATGATACAACCAAGGAATGGCCAGGGAGATAGAAGGAAAACCAGGAGAGTGTGGTGCTTCAGAAGCTTAGAGAAGAAAGTATTTGGAGAAGGAAAGAGAGTGAAATCCACTGAGAGGAGAAGTAAGATAAGAACAGAGAATCGACCACTAGGTTTGGCAGGGTAGGGGTCATCCATGACATCAGTGATGCTTACAAAAGGGCCTGTCTGGCAAGGAGTAAGTGCTCAATAAGTATATGTTTAATGAACATGTGAATGCACATGCCAGTTGTCGTCTTTCTAGTGCTAAGACCTGTCATTTTTTCGTTGAATAGAACGTTTGACTTCCTCAAACCAGTTCTAAGCAGATAGGACAGGGAGAACTTAGAGGGCAGAGCACTGAAGGGAAGAAATGTACACCATTGGTATTTACCTACCCCTGCTTTTCAAAAGGACAGAAGAAAAAAGAAATGGAACACATATTTTGGATGTGTTCAGGTTCTTTTCTTGCAAGTTGATACAATAATGTGAGAGAAGTTCTGAACATTTCTCAGGGGTCTTTAAACATTTCATTTTAAATTAGTCCTAGTTTACATATTCTAAAATGGATCACCAAAACATGAAAAGTAAATCCAAAATTTTCCTCACATTCTTTCTAGGAAGGGCATTCTCAACATAGAGAAATAAATGGAGAAACAATGTTCATTTCATGGTGTTTCTAAAAATCGATCAAAAGTGGCGAAAAGCAATTTATGTCTCAAGTTAAATTTCAAATGAGTAAGAATAACATGACGTACCAAAAGTTCTTTTCTAGTAAAGGAGAGGTTTTCTTTTTTTATGTTATATACACACAATACTTTTGTACAAGGCAAAATTGATTATTTTTCATGCTCAGAGGCACTGACCTTTGCTTTTGCTGGAGTTTAAATAAACTCGAAGTTTAAACAATCAAGGGCCATCTCTGAATGAGCACATTCTGATGTTTAACATTTTCCCATTGTGGTTATTAGGTAGAGCAGCTTATGCGAGACGATGGCCTAGGTCTGCTTGGGGCTCTGGGCTTAAGAAGTGACTGACAATGCCCATACCCAGAAAACTTAAAATAAAACCTTAACATTTAATTTTAAAAACAGATTTTTCTTTTTTCCCCAAGGGTAATGGGGGGTCAAGGAAGCCTTTCCAGAGGCAGAGGCTTGAGTCAAGTCTTTGAGCCAAACAATGGATGAAGGTTATTAAAGAATGAAAGAACATGGGCAAAGTCATGCTGGCAGAAACAGCAGAGAATGCAAGTTGTTTGGGGTGTCCTACGGTGTGGGGTGTGGCAGGGCAGGAGATGGGGCCAGGGAGGTAGACGGGACTAGAAAAAGCCTTAGGTGCTAACGTAAAAAGTTGGAAATTTATACTGAATACTGAATGTTATGGGAAACCATTGCAGTATTTTACACATTTTTTTTTAAAGCAGTTTTGTTGATGTTGCTAATTATCCTCCTAAAAGTTTAAAAATTTTAAAGCAGTGGTTTTGAATCCTTACTTCACTGGTGGTATTTTTAAAAATATAGATGAATAGGCCCCCCTCCCCCAAAAGGTCCTATTCAATTAACCTGGAGATGGAAACCAGAACCAGATATCAGCATTTTTTAAAAAGCATGGGGTGATTCTAAATGCAACCAGGGTTGAAAATCACTGCTTTTATGGTGAATTGCTTCAATCAAATAATCAGATCAACATCTGACTGAGAACTGCCTAGGACAGCAGCTGCTCCAACTTTAATGTGCATATGAATCACCTGGAGATCTGATTCTGCTTGGGTAGGTCTGGGTGGAGCCTGAGATTCTGCACTTCTAACAATCTCCCAGCTGATGCTGATGGTGCTAATAGAAATGGTCTAGGCTCTAGGATGGAGAGGAAAGTGAAAGTACGGAGGAGTAGCCTGGGAACAGAGGCACCTGTAGAATAGTTCTTGCTGGGGCATACTCCCTTTGGAAGAAATAAGACAACACAAGGACATTAAACAGAGAGAGGAGAGAGGTGGGAGAAACCAGGGAAGAACATTCCCTAGGACCCTGGGGGAGGGGAGGGGGAGGGAAAGGATGCCACCAGACGGTCTCAGGTCAAAGTTCTTGGACAAGTTTAATTTCTTTAAGACTCGTTTTTCTGGCGTGTCTCAATTCCAGTGGCTCACCTGCATCAGAATCAATAGGGGTACTTACTGAACATTGGGATTCCCAGGCACCAACCCAGTCCGAATGAATCAGAATGGAGGAGAACGGAGGCTGAGACTCTACCTGGATAGCTAGCACTCTGGGTGATTATTACGCACCCATACATTGGAGAGCTAGAACTCTGATGGTTAAAATAAGATAGCAAGTGTCTGGAACACATCAAGAGCTCAATCAGTAGTAACCCTGGTGATGACGATGGTGGTGATGGTGATAGGAAGACTGTCTCTGGTCCAGCCCAGATTCTGCAGGTCATAGTTTTTACCCATCCCTCTCTCTCAAAGTTGGTCCCTACCGGAGATGTCTGCCTGCTGCCTGCCACAGAA